AAACTTTTAAGGCGTTGATAGGTATTAGTATATTCAAATGTATTTGAAGACATTAGATTTCAAGGTGCTCGAATGTATTAAGCCTTTTTAATGCATTTTAAAGTATTAAAATTTCTGACTTCATGTAAATGCAAGAAATTTTAACGAGTTTATATGCATTAAAACTGTTCGAGGTCTGTGAACGCATTGCGATTTCTGAATGCGTTTCAATTGGTTAAAACTTATGGGATTTGCAGGAATTAAGCAGTTTTAACACGTTTAAGTACGTTAGAACCTTTTATGCACTAAAGCACATGAAAATTATTTCATTCACGAAAACGCATTAAATTCTAACGAATTTTAATGCATTGTATGACTATATGAATAGAAGGCTCAACTGTTTCGTAGAGTCCTTAAGGCCCGTGTAGTATGTCTGCTTGGGTAGAAGGGGTCGTCTCAGACCAAACCTTTTGAGAGGAATCCAGTGGTGATGTCAGAAAGAGTTGAAAATGCTTCTCTATTGAATGTGGGTATGATTCCGTTTTTGATAATTGTTAATGTGTTCACATGCAGTAATTTCTAATGCATGTGAGCACATTAAATGAATCCGAGCCCATGTGAATGAATTAAATGAACGAAAATACTTTTTAAGACATTTGAATGTATTAAATAATTGCACGGCTTTGAATGCCTTACCATCTAATGCATGTGAACGCATTAAATGAACTCGAGCCTTTTTGCATGGGCAAGATGTGAAAGGTTTTATACAAAACTCTTTTTGCGTGGGCAGATGATAACAGGTTTTGTGCAAAAAGGTTTTGATTAATTCGTTGAAACCGAAGGCTAATGACGACAAACATGTAATACAATCTAATGATAATATTGGAAATGATGCTGCATTAGAACAAATGGCTGATGCACATAGTAATGAAGACAATACATTCATGAAAGCGTTCATTCAGAATGTTGGTAATAATTTAAAAACATCTAAAAATAATTATCAATATAATGAGTATGTTAAACGTTTTGCATTATCATTGTACATATTGGCATGCCGAAACGCCTATGAGTTTGTAAGAATTAATCTACCTGGTGTCATACCATCAATAGCAACAATAGAATCTTATATGAAATGCACCAGTGTTCAAATAGCTGAATGCGACTTTAGATTCAAGTCGTTAAAACATCATTTAAATAGAATTAATTCTAGTCATGGATTTTGTGCTGAAGATTGTATGAGTGTGGTGAAAAAAATAAGTTATGATCGTATCACTAATTCATTTATTGGATTTTGCACACCACTCAACAATGGGGTACCATAACCAGTTTATTTCCAAACAGATAATTTTCATACATTAGAAAATTGGTTTAAAACAGCAGAAAAATCATCATTACTGAATTTACTTATGTTTCAACCAATAACATCTAATTTATCACAATCAGCGCCGTTCACACTGGGTATTTTTCTTGATACTTTTTTATTTATATTTCTCCACATATCTGTTCCCTTTATAGCTGCGTATGGTCCAAACAATAAAGTAATATCTATCGACATAATTCGACGATGGTTATATATTTATAATGAATGCTTAAAACAATCAATTCGTATTATCGGATTCAGCACGGATTGTGACGCAAAGTATTTAAAATCTATGAGATTTGTTAGCGGATTTTTTGCTAGTTTACCTAATATTCCAATAATTGGCAATAAGGATGATAATTTATTTGAAATTAATATTCTTGCCAAATGGTCATCGTGGTTTTTTCTAAACAAGCAAGCACTTTAATAACGACGAACCACTAGCAAAACAATCGCTTCTTTCTAAATGGAATAAATACAATACAGGAGAGCGATGCGAAGACTAAATCAAAACAAAGCATCAGCGTATAGGTTGTACGACAAAAACTAGTGAGATTTCTATTTTCTTGCCCTTCACCCCCCTTCCGAGCTGAAAAAATATCCTTTTTTCGATTTTGGATTTCTATTGCCATAAGTACTCCTAAGTCTTCTCTATTGATCTGCACTAAAGAATTTTTTTTCACTTCGTCTGTATCTCGGTAATTGGATTTTTCGAGACCCTCTATGTCATAAAACACGTTTTTCGACATTTTTGCATATGCTTTCCCATCAGGCTTTTTAGCTGAAATGAGTCACGCTTATCCGCGACATCACTAAGAATCCCCCTTCAACATCTGCCTTCCTTCCTGTTGAGCTAGAAGTCAAACATAAGCGAAAACAGAAAATCGAGTCTGTCGAAATGTGGGTTTTTTCTGATTATGGGCTATTTTAAAAACATTATCTAGCTTTGAAAACATATCCATTGGATGCGTCGTAGCCGATAACCTCTAGAAAATTTCAATAGGAAGAAATGACCGATTAATATTTGGTGAAAAAGTAAAATTTAATTTTGTACTTTTCTTAATTTTTTCACAAATAAAGTGTAGAATCGCCCCCATTTCTCCGATATACGAAGTCCGATCGAGCTGAAAGCTTTTTTGCAACCACTAGACACCGTTTGGGGTACCTTTTTTTTTGTAATATTGTTCCGCTTATTTTTTGCAGATTTTACAAAATTTGCCCTACGCAAAATATAAGCGTTTTTTAGGGTGCTATCCGTATTTTGGTTATTTTATTTGAACGCAACAAAATAAAAAGAAACCAAAAAAATAGGCTCCCCAATTAGTGTCTAGTACCTGTAAAAAAAGTTTCAACTCGATCGGGCGTGGTACGTCCGAGAAACGGGAGCGAAAAGTGGGATCATTTTTACCCCTTCTAATCCCAATATTTCATAGAAGTTAATTTAGATATTCGAGTTATTATGAAAACTCGAGTCTAGCACAACTTTTGATCTACTATCCGAGATCTATCTGCGCTGAAAGTTTCATATGTAAAGTTTTCTGATGAGCCGTTCTCCAAAAGCGGGGAGATGCCCTTGAAACATTTTTTGGTCGATTTTTGGCTGAGAAATCTTCAAAATACTCTAAATATTAATAAAACCGCAAAAACTAAACTTTTAAGCATTTTTTCAAGAAATTTCAAGATTTCGCTCATTTAGAATAATGGGAAGCATTTGAGACTAATTTATTCGGATTCAGCGTCAAAAAGTGAGTAGAACTGTGTAGATTTAAGAATATTTCATCCTTCATATCTTCGTCAGCAAGGCCGACTCGGTCTATCAGACGAACACAGTGACCTCTTGTTCTGCCAAATCTATCGAGTCTTTTGTTTGCAAATATTTCTCCGACTTTCACACATCATTCGAACAGCTAAGTGAGGGTGAAAAAAAGTTCACACGGGTTTTGAAAAATTTCCTTTACTCACAGAGAAGTTCATTTTACTGGGAAAAAGAAATAACAAAAAGATTCATGTTTTATATTTCCGGTCAATCTCACTGAATTTCGGTTCTGATCTAAATTTATAGGTAAAAATCAATGTAGAATTCAACAGACATATTTAGAGTTGTCTACTGGATCATCAAGGAATGTCCAAAAAATTAGAGAGAGAGAGAGTGTGGGAGATGCGCTCGTCTCGTAAGGAAATCCGTTGTCACAGTACATGATAGAACGCAAGAGATGCGTACAGTCTATCTCTCGTCATCTCTAAATTTTTGGATATGTGACACTTCATATGTGTTCGTCTGGTAGACCGAGTCGGCCTTGCTGACGAAGATATGAAGGATGAAATATCCTTAAATATACACAGTTCTACTCACTTTTTGACGCTGAATCCGAATAAATTAGTTTCAAATGCTTCGCATTATTCTAAATGAGCGAAATCTTGAAATTTCTTGAAAAAATGCTCAAAAGTTCAGTTTTTGCGGTTTTATTAATATTTAGAGTATTTCGAAGATTTCTCAGCCAAAAATCGACCAAAAAATGTTCAAAGGTGATATTCGTGATCAGCTTGGCGAGCTCTATCCAACTATGTAAAAATAAAAATCTTGCTCAACTTTTGCTTTTGAAGCAGCTTACAGTTCTTTACAGAGAACGCAAGAGAAAAATATGATGAAAAATGATTTTTCTCTTGCGTTCAATGGATTTCGTTCTCATTTCTTTTAATTTCATTCTTCGTTGCTACAGGTCTAATAAAGTCACCAGCTAAATATTTAATATTGCTTCCTTTTACCTTTTCTTGCGTTCTTTTCATAGATAATTGATTGTCAATCTTTGACATGAAAGTGCAAAACACCAACAATAACAACTTCAACATTTTCTTTTTCTTCTGTTCACACACAAATCACCAGTAGCAATCATTTGTCATAACGACGGAAGAAGAACAAAAAAGAAGAAAAAGGAAGATACAAATCTAGAGGAGTAATATTTTCATTTTTGGCATTATGTTGAAGATTATGTCAAACTATGTTCGACTCAATTTTCATTGAACGTTATAATTACAGACAAGCTGCCTCAGTTCCTTCAGCTAGTTGGATCTCTCTCTAATAGTGTGGTGGAGTTTATGGACGAAAATTATTTAGAATTATAGGAAGCAGGGAGAAAATATCCTTAAGTTACCTAAGTTGCGAGCTGCTTTTAAGTTGCAACTAGACACCAAAAACGCTTCTGACAGTTTCCTGCCTCTTGATACAATTGCTCAGAAGACTCAGGACCTCAAACAAGAAGTCTGATCAGAGTGAGTGTAAGTTGGAAAAAAATTCTGGACGACAGGGGCAGGTGGTACCAAACAATGGAATGAATCTAGACAACACACAAAATTTGCGAATTTGATTTTCTCATCCGGGATACGTTAATTTGATAAAATAACGGTTTTACATAAAATGTTTGATGAAAGGTTTTCGGGGTCGAGGAATCCGAATCCGTGATCGTTTTTTCAGGATATTGAGTTTGAGATAAGGGACCAGCAAGAGTTTTTAAGAAAAACGCATTTAACAGAATCAAAACTTATTTTGCGATTTTCTTAAGACTGCTTTGTAGCTTCAAGGCTTTCGCCACGTTCAGGAATTCTTGGTAACGGTACATCGGAGAAAGAAATTTTCTGTTTTGATTTGTAGATAACACCTATAGCTAGGAGTTGACAGAGTCTGATTTTTAGATATGCTTGGATGTTGGAACGAAAGCCTTATTAGAAATCGAAGTTTTGATCGGTTTCTAGCAAACTTTTAACATGGACAATTACAGTTTAATTGTATTGTGTAACGGTTTACTTTTCTACATATTTTTCAGAGTACGTCCTGTGGATTGGTCATTGTATGAATTTACTCTGTTGTCTTTCGCCATTACAACTAGAATTACCAATAAAAGGATTAAAACTGTTAATGCAACTAGAAGACCTATTAATATTGATACGACACATGAAATCCAATCCAAAATAAAACCAGCACTAGCCGATTTACTTATGATTAATAATGATGCTGATGAAAAGAAAATTGCAACACGCACGATACTGAGTAAATAATCATAATAGAACAGATCATGCGATAGAGCTGTAAACAAAATCATACTCGGAATGGTTTGATCAGTTTGAAAGGCTATCCTATAGATTGCTTTGAAGCTTGTTCAATTGTCTATTTTTCATACATGAGATTCTACAAAGAATGTTGAACAGAGAAAAATGAGTAAATATGAATGAACAGGCTGTCGAGGTCAATGCTGATAAACTACTAGAAATTTTATGATGTAGTAGTCAACATTCATTTGATAAAGCAACAGAAACATTGATAATAAAATAGTAGACTCTTCGTGACCGGGTTCAGTAGTTATCTTCCCAAAATCATGTAGACCATTTTCCTACTTAATTCGTCTGCCATCCTTCTGGACAAGAGTATTTCACAAGCTTTCTTTGGTCAAAAGACGTTTTTGCATGGTACTTGTTAGTTCAGCAACAAAAAAACATAGCTGGTCAGAATACGACACCTTCCTTATTCAAAAAATGGTGGCATATCCGTCTAGATAACAATGCTAACAGTTTCTAGTATATATATATATATATATACCATTATTTATTTAAAGAGCATTATACTATTGAAAATACTATTCCTCCTAAGTACTTAACTTGATGTTGCCGATAAACACGTGTACAATAAAAAAGAAAAATGTAGATGGTATTCTTGTAGATAAGAAAGAGAAGAGTAGAAGCATCCAAAAGATTTTTTAATGATTATTTTCTATATACGTACAAAATTTCTAAACATAGATAGATAATATGATAATGATGAGAAAAATAATATGATGAGTTATGAAGCATTTTGTGTTCTCAATGTATTGATGTATGTGCTCTACTAAGAAACAATTTTGTTCTACACTGGAGAAATCGTACCTCTTTAAAATCTATTCTATACTAAGGTAAAAATTTGTGCCTGTGACTAATGTAAACTTGACTAACATTTGCAATCTTTCTTGAGCAAAATATGTACAATGTAAAAAATAATGTTCCGCTGTTTCAGGAATGATGCAAGTCAGGCATAAAGGACTGAGTACAAAATATCGCTTATATTGATCCGCTGAAAAAAAATCCTAAATGCATCGTTGTCATATGAATAATATTACGTATATGTCCGACAAAAAACCATTGCGGTAAAAATGATGGAAAATTCAGATTTTGCTTTAACTTTGTGGAAAATTTGTTAGAGAACGAATGTTATGATCTAGAGCATTCCAGTCTTGAATGGTGCTAACTAAAACTGATTTCTCGACATGATTGGTATGACACATTGTACGACGTATATCTAAAGGTTTAAAGTATCGCGTCCTCCGACCCATTACGGCACTTTTTGCAAAAATGTTTATTTTTATTTTTTTTCATGGAAAAATCAATTTAAATTCCGATTTT